CAGGGGCAGCAGGGAGCGAGGGCCGAGCCCCTCGAGACCTTTGTGGCCGGCGTCTCTGAGGCAGAGGGGGTGCGCACAGTCACCCCGCTGCGGGACACACGAGGCCGGTTCCCTGAGCCGCATGGCTTCCTGCAGGACTTCGTGCCCCAAGCGCTGCGCCAGGTAATAAAGCCACGAGCTACTGTTTAGGACTGACACTGGCCAAGGAGTGTCCACGTGTGAGTGGTTTATTCTCCTAACGTAATGGCTGTAGCCACTAGCAAAGTGGGAGAAGATTCCCTTTTGCATCAACCTGACCCTGCAATTAGAGTCCATCTCATGGATATAGATGCACATTTTATGTTTCGGAATTTTAGCAGTAATTAATTTAGGGAGCCGAACTAAAGTTGAACAACCCTTTTCAAGTACAACCCAGGAGTCTCTGTGTGTCTACTCCTAAAATCGCACTGATCCTCTTAAGAGGGATCCTAAAAATGTCCAGATAATTGACTTCTTTGGATGTGTACGCGAGTAACAATTACGACAGAGATTATTAGTTTGTGACAGTATTCAGAAATCACAGAAAGCCACCTTGTCCTGATGCTCGCTGACGATATGGCCCAATCCTAGAAATCACAGAGCGGATACCGTGTGTAGTCACAAGTATATGGAATTAAATGCGTACAGAGATGACAAGCAAGTGGACTGTGGAAGCTATGAGGTGCCCATGAAAGAATTTTATATAAAGAAAAAATACATATATTCATTATACATTAAGGATTTATTCTATCCAAATTTTTTGATAACAGATCTGTTAATTGAGGAACAAAATCTGACTAGTCTACTTACAATTGTAAATTTCTAAAAATTGTGAGTTACCGTAATTCAATTTGATCTAGAATACTTGAGTGCACTCTGATTCTGTAAGACGTTTGTGCTGTGTACGTGTTACGTGTTGTCATTCAGTGAACAGCTGTTCCCCTTGGAGCCCAATTACTTTTCTTTCACCACTTGTCTGTAATACGATTTGGATTATAGACTTAAAAGCATGTTTTCTCCTGAAGTTACCAGGTAGTTTAAAAAACTGACTTTCTCATAGCTCATAAAAATGATTTATAACCACACAAATCTTTAACCACAATTCCTTAGGGTGAGGAGAAATTATTGGGCAGGACTCCAACTGGTGAACAGAGTGGCCAACCTTTATTCATTAATAAGGGGCCCCCAATGATCTCGAGTCTCTTGGGAAACACCCCCAACAATTTGGTCATGTTTTTTTGTTTGTTTGTTTGTTTTTTTCCCAGTACCAGGAATCAAACTCATGACTTTGCGCTTGCCAGGCAGGCGCTGTGCGGCTGAGCTAAATCCCCAGCCCCAACAATTTGGTCATGGTTAAAAGCGTTCCAGAAAAAAATAAAAAGGTGCTCTCATGAAAGATGTTCTTAGTATAAAACTAAATTAAGAAACAAAGGTTTTCATATGGAAATTCATTGTTTATAGTATACTGAAATGTACTTGTGATTGTGGATATACAGGTCTTCAAAATGTAAAGCAAGGATTGGTTATGATAAGACTTTGTTCAGATTCAGACGTCTGCCTTTAAAAACTTACGATATCTCATTAAAGGATAACAGGTTAGGTAAAAGCTTATGTATTAGATAGAGATGATTGGTTGAGAGGGTTGTGTTATGTCAAAATGAAAATTTAAGCATGTTACAAAATGTCATGGTTGTCATGAGACAATGTTATGTATGGATTTAGTTTCTAATTTCAATGCACAAATATGTAACTATTATCTGTTAACATTCTATAGGGATTTAAATGATAGGATATCCATGGCTGTTAAGAAAATAACAGTTCCACTTTATGTTCT